TCATGTGTATTATTTCCTCTTCAAAATGAAATTCCACATCCAAAGCCAAAACAACCTAGGTGTGGTTAGCACAAGGCTTGGTACCGCTGACCTAATTTCCAGGGCTAGTTATCTCATCAGCTGTTTCACTTGAGAAGTGTTCTTTTTTCTGCCTTTTGCTGTCCCATCTGCAAAATGGAGTTAATAATAGTGCATATGTGGAAAGGATGTTATGAGCACTAACTTGAATTAAGTATTCATTAAGTGGATTCCTTGGTGGCTCAGAGAGTAAAGAATCTGCCTGCAATGTGGGAGACACAGGAGATGCAGGTTTCATCCCTGGGTTGGAAGATCCCCTAGAGAAGGGAATGGCTACCCACTCCAGTATTCTTGCCTGGAGAAATCCATGGACAGAGGAGCCTGGTGGGCTATAGTCCATGGGGTTGCAAAGAATCAGACAGGACTGAGCAACACTTTCATTTTCACTACCACTTGATAACAATGAGCTCTCTAGAAATGTTTAAGTAAACTATAGATTTTTAAAATAAACAGACAAAATAGTTAATACTGAGCACATCCAAAGCAGCTCCGCTCACAGACTTGCAAGTAGGGAACACTGCCTCAGCTCACAGACTTATTCATTCAACAAACACTGGTTAAATCTCCACTATGTGCCAAGCTCCATGTTCCACCTTGGAGATTTAGAAGTGAAGGACACATCTCTTGCCCTGGAGTTTACAGCTTAGTCCATGCTCTAGCAGACAAGAGAAAGGCTTATGCTCCATATTTAGGTGATGTAGTTCCCCTGGCACAGAGGGAGCTCAGCTGAGGCACGCATCTCTGGCTGTGGCTGGATCTCTTCTGAGAAGGACAGAATGAAATGGAACCAACAGCACTTGAGCACTAAATATATAACCACATCCTGCCGTCTGCCTGATACACATTCACTCACAGCAATCCCATTAAGTAGGCATCCATAACCTCACTTCACAGATGAGGAAGTAGAGAGGCAGAGATAGTAAATTATTAGCCCCAGACAGGGAGCTAAGCACAGGCTATCTGAAGAATGGCCCCCTGGCATCTCTCCTCCACTTTCTTAATACCCAAACTTTCTAAGACAAATATTATCCCATTTGGGTTTCTTCAAACTCATATCTTGAAAGTACCTTGCTAACTGCTCTAAACTCAGTGAGTCACTCTGTCTTTTACGGGTGCTGTTAAGCTTCCTCGTCTGTTTGGATAATGCACCGAAGGGCTAAAGTTGCCCGGTAAATGACCTCCACACCAGCGCTGGGAAACTGATGTGCGTAGGAATCTGCTTAAAATGCAGATTCAGGCTCAGTACACTTCAGGTGGGGCCCAAGCATGTGCGTTTCTAATGGTGTTCTCCAGGCATTATGTGACACAACTGAGAAATGTGAATTCATAAGCCCTTCTGTTTCTATCTTGGAAGTCAATATAACAGGGGAGCTTAATCTTCTGTATATAGGAATTAATTTAATAGGGAGTCAACTTAGGGACTGATGACTTCAATTAAAAATAAGATAGGCCCCAAATGTAGTCTCTTATGCTAAGCCCCATATCACCAAACCAAGATTTGACTTAATTACAGTTTCTGCTTTTCTAAAAATAGAATCTTAAACCACCCAGTCAGGAATTGCCTGATCAACACCAGTTAGGTAATCTGCCTAATTAGAGCCCTGCTATCTCCTGAAGAAATAGTGTAACCTTAGAGTAACCAAGCTGCTTTTTGGCCTAGCATATCTTCCTTGTTCCTGCTTCCTCCTGGCTGTAGAAGTCTTTCATTTTGTACAGCCCCTCTCTAACGGCTAGATTGGATGCTACCCAATTTGAATCATTTCTGCTCAAATAAACTCTTTAACATTTTAATATATCTCAATTTACTCTTTAATGGTTCCATAAGCTCCATTCTGATGGGTAATTACAGAATAAAAGTATCTAACCCTTGGGGTGATTAGGAGGCTACATGAGGCCATACATATACACTTAGCATATAGCTGTCACTTCAAAGGGGTTTGTTTAGTTAGTATTAATAATAATATAAAGGACTAATGTTTCCTTTGAAACCCATTCATTTCCTCCCTCCAGTTAAAAATCTGCCTTGTTGCATCCTATGTAAGTACCGTAGTTTGTTTTCAGTACTGTTTTCTGTACTTCTGAAAGAGCCGTTCGCATTTACTCTTGAATTCTGAAAGGAATTATGTCTTCGGCCTTCGGGGGTAAAAAAATGATAGGAAACAAATGATTGGAATGGTGGTTGGAAGCTGCCATTCCCCTCTGCTAAATAAGCACAATCTTACCGTGTCAAGAAATGTCCCCTTGTGTTTTGTCTCCTATCCAGGAAAATCGGAGACGCGGGATTAAAGCGGGTTTTTATTACTTTCTTCATTTTTTTGTCCGATACAGACTTGGTAACTAAACAAAGACCCAGCTCTAGTTACAACAAAGGGTTTAAACAGAAATCCGCAACCTGACTCGGGAGGCCTGGCTAGCGTCAGCCCGTCGGGTCGCAAACAGTCAGACACAACTGAACTGAACTGAACTGAACCTGACTCCACTCAGGCCTTCGGATTGGTTGACCTATTGTCC